AATAATAATACGACTCGAGCCAGCTTTCATGTGTCGTTATGACGTCAAATGTGAGTGATGATGTCGCCTTAATAATGCTAATATGCACAGGAACCGACTCATACTAGAGGTATTCAAATACAAATACAGTACTGCACTGTAATGTTCAAAACAAAATGTCCTTGAATTCAAAACGACAACCAAAAATCTACGACTTAAGTAAAATCAAACATTCTAATCTCCTTCTTGTCCTTGAATGAAATAAAACAAAACATGATCGCTGTAAAACTAACTTGTAAACTACACGACAGCAAGAGGTGCTTAGAAACAAATAAATAGAAATAAAGAGCTCAATTAACACTAATCAAAAGAGACGTTATAAAAGATATTTATCACGAGTACTGTTCAGGTACCAACATTTGTACAGTTAAGATGTAAGAGTCTGGGAAAAGTGGCATTTAGCTTTGGAGATTTGATTTCCATCGAGGCCTCCTCACTTTAACAATACTTTCTTGACACCAATGACTACTTTCCTATTAGCCAGGGGGTTGGTGCCATCTTTGTGACACCTTAGGGGATTGCATTAAGAGTAAAAAATATGCAATAGGTTAGTTTTTCCGTGAATAGCCCTAAATTGTGCAGAAAAAAAGTGCCTTGAAATAACTTTCAAGTGAGTTATCAGCTGGAACAAAATTCTGAAAATAAAATTAAATTACTTTAGACATACTATAAAGGGGGAACTATTCGGTAGGCGAAGTCTGTGGATCAAAAATATTTAGCCTTGCGTATCTGTGAGCAGGTCACCAGACCTGCAAACTATTTATTCATTTTCATACATTTTTCATGTCATGAGCCTCAGTTGCGTAAATAATGAATGACTGGATCACACCGATACAGCACAAGTGAAACAGAAGCTCAGCCAGTGTGGGTGGAAAGATCATGGATGCAGTTACTCTTGGTATGTGTCACATGATGACAGCTGTATCATCAAAGCCCATAAAGGTGCATTTTGAGATCAAAACTCGCCTAGCTGTAGAAAAACATACGAGATGAATATGTACGTCAGTGGCAGTAAATGATTGGGTTCTAGTTGACAAGTAAAAATATACATGGTAGAGGGAGTTAACAAATGAAGAATGAAATATTTGTGTAAAAGTAAACTCTACCACACACATTAAAACAGTTGAAAAGTTCACTGCTGTCCCAAAAGGGTCATTTCTAAGTAACCGCACCACACACATGGAAAACATAAAATTGCCTGGCTGATGCCAAGCTTTGGAATTGTAGTTAATACCAGCATCTATTGAGTCATACAATGGCACGTGTACTAAGGAAATAGAGTTCATTAATTACGTGTCTCATTACCTGTTTTTTAGTTTCATGTATCCTGTTGGAGGGAGTTTGGGACCGCCACAAGGTGAGTCACAATATATGTTATCAAGCTTTTATTGTTTTTTTAAAAATTCTTCATTTTGACAGCAATTCACGGAGATTTCTTTTAATGTGTCATACGCGAAAATCCCATTGGATATTAAAATGTCTATATTTTATTAGGGCCTGACCGATTGTTGATTTTTTTGAGGCAAATACTAATGCCGATTTTAGGCACAAAAAATACATATTTTCTGTGGAATTTTTTTTTTTGTCAAGTCTGCGGAAGACTTTTTTTTATTTTTATTTATTTAAAAAATCTCCTTAAACTTTTTTTTTTCTTCATAGCTTACATACTTAGGTTGATGCACACTGTTTTACACTGACCACATGGCAGTAAAGGGAGAGGAGATGAAAAATACTGTAATGTGATCAATCGTCTTCAGTTCTTAACGATAAATGGCATCTTGCAGAATTGAAATAAACACAATAACCCGATGTTATCCACAGTCAAGTCTGCAAAGTTTTTGATTTTTTTTCCCCTTCTCCTAAAATGGTGGAAGCACATGGTGGCTCCAGAAGGCTGCGGTTGTCATTTAACTCAATGTTTGCACTGGCAAACATTGCAAACGATTCAAAATTTTTTTTCCACACCTCTCATTTTGCTCCACCGTGTCGAAAAACAGATTGACTTCTAACTGCTCTCGTGTCTTTCCCCAGCCGCTCGACAAATTGAATCACAAAGTCATCAACTACATTTTTTTATCAACTTTTCCCTCAGTGTGTTCCAGTGGTGGGAAAGTAGATATACTTATCATAGGTACAATCCCCCCAAGTGCTTTTCCCACCTCTGGCGTGTTTCAGATTAGACCAGGGGTGTCAAACTCATTTTTGTCACGGGCCTGATTTTTAGTGACAGTTTCCCTTGGAGGGCCATTACGACTGAAACCATATAAAGAAGGCAGGAATAACGGTTTATTCACCGATTGTTGAAGTTACTGTAATGAGGGGTTTGGTCACAAGAAAAGGCTCACAGTATCACTCTTCGTTATTAGAAATGAGAATTTGAAATGTTGGTACTGCATCATGAAAGTTGACATCTTTGATTTGCTTTCGCGGGCCACATCAATTGATGTGGTGGGCCACATCTGGCCCCCGCGCCTTGAGTTTGACACCTGTGGATTAGCCAGTCATTCTGTTAGTATACAGCAAAATGTCATTTTTTGCTGCTTGTTTTGTGTGCAGGCTTGGTCCCCATACAGCAGCAGCAGCAGCAGCAACATCCACACCAGCCACAGCAGCAGCAACAGCAGCATCAGGGCTTCCCAATGGTTCAGGTCATGCAGCCAAATATGCAAAGCATGATGGGAATGAACTTTGGGGGACAGATGCCTCCAGGAGCCATGCCAATGCAGGTGGGTTTCTTGCAAACATTTACTCACTGTTACGGGGGGGGTGACTAGCATTTCCATTAATTACAGCGAGGAAAGGTGATTTGAGGTAATCTGATTGTTTTGCGTTGCAAGCGTGCTCACGGAACAAATTAAACTTGCATCACAAAGCACCACTTTAGAGATAGCAGGCAGATGAAGCCTTCATTTGTATGTAACAGGCCAGGATGGCGATTGGGATGCAGACCCCCGGAATGCCGTTCTTGGGCCAGCCCCAGTTTATGGGCATGAGACCTGCTGGCCCACAGTACACCGCCGACATGCAGAAGCAAATGGCAGAGGAACATCAGTAAGAAACGAGCAACTTTTCTCTCTCTCTCTCTCTCTCTCTCTCTCTCTCTCTCTCTCTCTATTTGTTTGTTTGTGTGTTTATTTATTTTTCATGAAACCTTACATACCAGGCAGGGCATCGCCTTCAAAAGTCAGAGACCCCAATAGAACATGAGGTTTGGGACCCCAAGTGGAAATAAATGCCTGCACCTCACAAATAATTTTTTTATCAAATTAATTGATAGAATAATTGGTCGAATACACTAAATTAAAACTAATCGATTGCTGCGGTCCGAATTTCCACCATTTAACATTCACGGGTAGTTTACATTAATTTTTTTTTTTTAGCAATGCTACAATAGAATTCCATCAATAAATGTTTTTATTTTTGTGAATTTTGGGTCACTCAAGAAAAAGTCATCAAAAGTTCAGGCTGAAAGAATGACTGATAGGATTTTTATATTTTCGTAAAATGTTAAAACAGGTCAGATTTGGCCGAGACAGTAGGTAAGGGTAGAAGTAATAAAAACAGAGAGAGTCGTCTGCTTTCCACTTTTTTCAACAAGAACATCTTTGATCTATTTATAGAATGGTATTCTCAAGGGTGTCCGCGTTACAATTCCATTTTATTGTTTGAAGGAAGCGTCTGGAGCAGCAGCAGAAGATGCTTGAGGAGGACAGGAAACGGAGGCAGTTTGAGGAGCAGAAGCAGAAGCTGAGGCTGCTCAGCAGTGTCAAACCCAAGGTGAGAAACATTGTCGCTGGCATTGTTTATCTTGCTTTTGTTACCAGTCTCTCATATTTTAGTCTTCTTTTTTGGCTACTCAAGACAGGGGAGAAGAGCCGGGACGACGCCCTGGAGGCGATAAAGGGGAACCTGGACGGTTTTAGCCGGGACGCCAAGATGCATCCCACGCCGTCATCACAGAGCAAGAAGCCAGGTACAGTTTCACCTTCGTGATCTGACGACAACAGGGGTCGGCAATTAAACCATAAAAACACAATTTATAATTTAGGGTAATGTAAGATAAGATAAACTGGAAATTAATTGAAAGTGTTTAGTGATCATAGCTTGTGGTATATTTTGGATTTAAATGATTTATTTAGGCAATTATAAACAATTTGGTGGGTGGCATCAAATATTTTTGGCGGGTCTTTACTTTGGCTCTGTATTATTTATAGTTAGTATTGTTACAACAACTTACTCAATCCCGTAAGTGAGTAAAAGTGTAAAATTAAAAAAAATATTAATTTGGTCTGTTTTTACTTTTAGGATAACCCTAAGTGCAAACATGAATAAATACATAAATACATAGGAGCCAATTTTAGTCAAAAGCGAGAAAACATGGCTAAATCAACCCAACAAATATTATAGGGCTCACAATGTAAATAATCAAAATGCTTGTTGACCCTGATTAAACAATGGAGTGGTCTGCATGTGTCCCGCAGACCATACTTTGCCCACCCATGCACTAGAATCTATTACAGCGCCCTCTTCTGGGAGGAATAACTGGATTCTGCTGTTTGATCCTGACTTCTTCAAATCGTGCGTGTGTGTGTTTATGCTGCATCGTCACGATTTGTTCACTCTTGCAGACTCGACTTCATCACCATCATCATCATCATCATCCCTCTCGTCTGTTGCCACTCCCTCCCTCCCCCCGCCTTTGTCCGAGGACAATGATGAATTTAGTGACTTTCAAGGGCCCGCCTCCCCCTCCTCCTTCCCTTCCTCTTCCTCGACGGGCTCCTCCCACAGGAGCGTCATGATGGGCTCCCTCACGACCGTTTTCCCCGAGGAAGACGAGGAGTTCAGTGACTTTGTTCAGGGACCTGTCGGTTCCGCACACTCGCACCTTTCCTCTCAAGTCCACCCTTCCCTCCCTTCCTCTGTGTCCATTCCCACTGCCACTCCTCCACACTCTGTCATCAACAGCACCTCGCAAACTTCATTTCAAGGTAATTTTTTCTTTTGCTCATCTTCCATCCGCCCTTAATTTCACATGGGATAGGTACAAGGTTTTGGTACTCCGGCGTGGTTCATAAGGCCTAAACTGAGTACGGCCTACATCTCCAGTGTGTTTATTCTGCAGTGGTTAAAACCACACCAGAGAAGCACAACAGCCTGCCCTTCCTGGGACAATCCAAACAATTTTTTTTTTTTTTAAAATTTGAACTTGTCTTTTTTTCACTGATAGGTGCATCACAGCAGCTACAGTCTCGACTTATTCATAATGTTGGAAAACAAAGTACTTCCAAGTGGCAGAAAAGTGAGTGACTACCGCTGAACTGAAATGACAAAACAATTATGGGGTTATGCCACCAAAAGAAAGAGGAAAAAAAAAAACAAGTTTAACCATCTGAACCTGTGAGTGAGAAGGTGAAATGGAATGTCATATACTTGGAGAGCTTGTGAGATAAAGAAGCTAATTTTAAAGGAACAGATCGACAACTAAACCTCCATCGGGTATGCGCAGGACATTTTCTCTGGTATGTATAAAATCTTAAGTCACGTTGTCCCCGAGTCATTTAGCAAACCATATTGGCTCGCCTGCTAGCTAACATCAGTTCTAAACAGTGTTCATTTCAACATCAAAATAGCAACAGAAAGGTCAATTCATTAGCCAGTGCCTCGGTGATACTGACACTATCTGAATTTCCATCAACTTAGTGAGCTCAACTAGCTACCTCCCAAGCAATTTTACCTCATTCAACATCTTCTCGACTCACACCTTCAAAGTATGGTGAGCGAAGTGGTACAATCTGACACCGCTGGAACTTTTGCCACCTGGAAGTACATATGTTGAAAGGTTTATAATCCTAGGCAACAGCGCCCATTCACACAGACGAGCATCGCAGGAACTATAAACATTTTTAACAGTTGTCACGTTTGAATCAAAGAGGCAGGTTACCTGATGGAAAAACACGCTTGTTCCCCGCTAGGTCCTTCCCTTGAAGAGAAGCTTTTCTCCTCTTGCGACCTCACGGCCGGCAAGACAGCACACTTAAACTTTAAACCCAGGCAGACTTTGACAGAAATGAGTCCCAGAGCTAGAGTTTCCACTCAGTTTCAGAGCAGCAGTAAGGCCAGGAATTGGGCCACGGCCTCCGGGGACTTGAGTCTTGAGTCGGTCTTCGTGACTGAAAGGCTAGCCAAGGCCTCCGCATCGGAGCCCGCCGTGGCCTCGACAGCTTCCAAACCTTCGCCTCCAAACAGCGGTGAGAGACGCCCATTTCTTACCGGACCTCTGCAGCTTCTTCTGCCACTAAAATCGCAGCTTCCTGTCTTCTTCTACTGCGCCGTTGTTGGCTTTTATAGCACGTTTTGTTGGCAGTCAAATCAAGGCAAGGTGACATCTTCAATAACTGTGATCATGGTCAAGTGGGGCATTCAGTGGCCGTAATTTCAAACCTTGATACCTTTTCTGCTACACTCTCTGTATTTCCAGGTTTTCTGCGTTTATAGTCTTTGTTGCGCTCTTATGGAAATCCTTGTTGTTTCATGCTTCATGCTGCCTGCTTTGGACTAACATGGTTGCGCATTTTACTGTTATGTTCTTTTGTGTCATCAAGGCAAACGCTGAGGCTCTTCATCGAAATTCCAGCATTTAAGTTACTAATGATGTGCAGTGGTACCTTGTCTGACAAGTTGAATTCGATGTGTGGCCAAGCTCAATTCACGTGTGTTTCAAAGTTGAAGAATTTTAGGGGGGAGGGGCTATCCTCTCTTAGCAATCAAAACGTAACCTCGGCAACATATAGTGGAATCTTGGCATTGTCGTTTGGAGTTAATCAACTGACGGTGATTAATTTGTCGGTTTTGTTGCCGATCCTTGAATTTAGTTGTCAGGAGCGCAAAACCGAGTATTTGTTTCTCCTTAGCCCCCAATGCAGTTCTGAAAAGCGTTTACACTTGTCCGTCAGCGCTAATGAAAGACCCGCCAGTCCATCACTCCATCGGTGATGGATCGCCATTTTTGCTGGCGGACTGATAACTGACTACGGACCGCCGCAGACACAAAAAAAAAGACGGGGGGGGCATTTTGGGCACAAGCAGGAGGAGGAGCAGTAATATAATCATTTATAGCTTTTTTTGTGTAAAGTGGTCCACACTGTTTCTAAATGAATTAAATTGTGTCCTGTTACCAGTGTAAATGTTTCTTTTTTTTTTTTTTTTCCAACTAATTTTCCTAAAGTAGCAGTGTCGAAATGCAATTTAGCAATGGAGGAAGCGTTTAAAAATGAACGATGACAGACTGGGCCACCCCGAAATAATGACGACTCACGTTGACGTATTTCCGTGTCCTCCGCTGGCGAATGACAGTAGCTCACCACTAAGTATGACTTCTATTTTGCTGTTAGCAATTGCCAGTCTTCCCTAATATTTATTTTTGTATGTCAATGCCAAAAGTTGAGTTTTATGACTTTAGTGCGTTTGTTGTGATGTCACGTCGCATTTGTGCAAGTGTGTTATTTGGGCTAATGTTCCCGGTAATGGTGGTTTCGGTTGAATATTTATCTGGAGGTGCTTATGTATCGTGGGTTCATGATTCTGTACATGCCAAATGCATGGTGTTGATGCCACTTTAAATGGAACCTATTTGCTATTACAAACCCGTTTTAGTGGGGGCTTGGTCAATGTTGTTTGCATCTTTTTATTAAAAAAAATAAATAAAATTGAAAGATGAAAAACGCCGAGTGATGGCTTGTAAACTTGTAAGTTAAGGTACCATTGTGTTTGCTTCAAACCATGAAATAGGTCAGTACAGTTGAATCCCTGGTAGTAGCTCACGGGATAATTACATTTTTGGGTGTTAAATCTGCATCGAGCTTTCCCGAAATGATTTTTGTGGAATTTTGGATACCAGCGGGAGCTTCGCTGCCAAGAGACTTGGCAACTGTCAACTCGTATTCCCATACAAGGCTGATACTGCAATAAATAATGATGTGCGTGCGTGTTTGTGTGTGTTTGATTACCACAGGGGCTGTTGGTATGTATCCACCACAAGAACATATCCAGTCCATCCCGCCAGCCTGGCTTTACAACGACAGCCTCATCCCAGGTAATCGTTGGATTTAGATATGTTGAACTGGTGGTGAATTTGTACCTTCTTGGGTGGAATCTTCACGGTGATGTTCACACAATCAAAGGCATACTGTTACTATGTGTGTCAAATTCACACATTCCAAAGTGACACACTTAAAAAAATAAAATAAAAAAATTCTGAGCTCATATCGGCCGATTTATTGATCGGGCTGTTTTGTTTTCGATTGGTATTGATCACGTATTGTTTTATCACACAGCCATAATTGCAAATTAAAAAATGGGTTCACTTACGATACTTTTTTTATAATGATCAATTTCTGAGTAGTCCCCAATAAAACATCATGTATTTGCACCAGTGCCCAAGATACTGCTTAAAATGGTTAGTAATGAGTTAAAAAAAAAATGCTATTTTGTGTGAAATTGAAGTTGTTGTTCTGAACAAAGAACATTTTGTGCTTTTCTGCCCTCAGAAATGTTCAAGAAGGTTCTAGAGTTCAGTATGACTCCGGCTGGGATTGACACTGCCAAGCTGTACCCGCTACTCATGTCTTCGGGTCTTCCCCGGGAGGCTTTGGGCCAAATTTGGGCATCCGCCAACCGCACAACACCTGGCATGCTTACAAAAGAGGAGCTCTACACTGTGCTGGCGCTGATTGGTGTGGCGCAGGTAAAACTGTCGTGACAGAAGGGCATTTTGATGTATTGAATTGAATGGCCTTTATGTATATATTTATTTGTTTGTGGTAAAATTAAATATAAAGGACATCAAGGACGTGACTGTTGGGATCAGTAATAAGATGGGCTAAAGTGCAATGTTGATGTTAAAAAAAAAAAAAATTTTTTTTGGTTGTCGGTGTGTGTGTGTGTGTGTGTCTCAGAGCGGCCTGCCTGCAATGAACGTGGAAATCCTCAGTCAGTTCCCGTCTCCGCCGGTGCCCAACCTGCCGGCCCTTGCTATGGCCTTAGCCCCCATCATGCCCCAGCACCAGCAACCCATGATGACCCACCAGCCAGTGTCCATGCCCATGCCCACCCCACCCTCTACAGGCATGCCCCCCATGACGGTGGCACCAGTACCAGCACCCACCAACTTCATTGCAAGTTTCCCTCCTGTTCAGGTAGCACTTGATCTATTGTGACCCGTGACTGCCCCAAATTACGAGTTTTTTCCACTTACTAGTCACTGCTCTTTGATTTTTTAAAAAATTTTTTTTGGGGGGGGGGGGGGGCAAGCAAAAGTCTGGCTTAAGAGGGACCTTTTTCTTGCCATGGTTTCTTAGAAGATGAGTGTTGGGAAGAAGCAGTGCAGTGTGCAATTTGGCAGACAGCAAACAGGTCTTCAAAAGAGATGCCTGGTGTGCTAGCTTCAAGCTGCTGATTGTCATGCCAGCTGATATTTCCTCAAAAACTAAAGAGAATTCTACTGTATCTGTCTTATGAAAGTTCGCTAGCTCAATGCTGACAAAAAAATGCTAAATGCAGACTAAAGAAACTACTACTACTAATTGTATTTAATTATGTTGTTACTCCAGTACTGTTGTTTGATTTTATAACAGATGCACAAATCTCCATAGGACAATTTTTTTTCAGAAATATATATGTAATTTACTTGGTTGAAATTCACACCTGAAGGGTGGGCAGGCATTCCGGAGACATAACTGTTTGTTTACAAGCTATTGAAAATTAATTTTCCCTAATTGGTCTCCTGTATTGTTCTGTCCACCCACACCTGAAAGGGGACCAAAGTGGAAGACGACGACTTCCAGGACTTCCAAGAGGCTCCCAAAGCTGGCTCTGGCGACCAGGCGTTCACTAATTTCCAGGGGGAATCAAGCGCAAAGTTCCCCGCCAGCTCGGCGGTGCAGCATCAAAACAGGTAACACGTTCATATTCAGGATCAGCGCTTCCTCATTTAGGTGTTGTCATCCTGCATATTTTGATCGGTTGAGTGTCAGATCGTCAGCGATCATTTCTATCTTGGCGGACGCTGCTTAGCATAACAATGAGTTTGGGTCAGCTCCTCATGAATTAATTTCAGCGGGCGGTCGATACGTGCACTTCTCTGTATCTGTACTTCACCAGCCCAAGCGCAGAGGCTATTTTACATCAAGAGATGAAGATCTGGCGGAACTAAATTTGCTGGCAGTTTCCTTCATATTTGTAAGCACGGCAGAGATTTGTGCTGGCACGTAAGCTTTTCACACTGAGTGAGTGCAGAGGGAAAAGGGCTTAAACAACCTTGAATACACCGAAGCACAAAACTATTTTATTTTATTATTATTATTATTATTTTTTTTTTTACGCTTGAACATCTTTCCAGTACAGACCCTGTACAGTGAATTCAGAGATTTGTTTCTAAATACGTTAAGTATTCTTTCAGGATAATTGCTGAAAACATATGCCAAGACCGAGAACTTTGTACGGGAAATGTTCACCACTTTGCAATCTTACTTCCGACATACTCTGCAAACTTTCCTTCAAACGTGAGCTTCAGCCCATAAATTCATATTAATGTGATGGTTACGTAATTGCGCTACCTAATGTCTTTCAGCGTACCTGCCATGTTGACTCCTCTGTCCGGAGCCTCCTCTGATAAGTACGCCGTCTTCAAGCAGCTGTCTGTGGATCAGCCCACAGAAGTCCCGCTCCCTACCTCAGGTACAAGTTTCACTTGTGTGTGTGTGTGTGTGTGTGTGTGTGTGTGTGTGTGTGTGTGTGTGTGTGTGTGTGTGTATATGTCTCACTTTTTTTTTTTTTGTGTGTACACGTTACCCCCCCTCCCCCCATCTAGATGGAGGAGACAAATATAGTGTGTTTAGACACTTAGAAACTCCGACTGACAAGAAACCACTAGGTAAGATGCCGTCTCACCATTTAGTGTGTACTCACACTCAGCCGGGGATTGTCAAACTTTTTATGTCAAGCACCGCAAAAAAACATAGCTCTCCACGATCATGACCAATATGAAATCATCTTACCTTGTATTTTAAAGACATTTTAAAGCTGTAAAGAAGTGGGCAAAACACGGTACCGATTGCCCAGTGTGAGTCCACCCTAAATTATGAACCCAAAAGCACGGACTCGAAAGTGATGATTCGATAACTTTTTTTTTTTTTTTTTTTTTTTTAACTCCTTCATTGTTGATCCCAATTGTTTTTCGCCTCCCTGTTTCATTAGAACACTTTGCAATGGGGACCAGTCTTACAAGTCCAGTAAGTCATGCTCTCAGTCTGCAGTGTGCCAAGTGCCTCCCGTCCAGTTCATACAACATTGGATGAACTACTGCTCCTTTTTAAAGTGTATTCTGAGTGCTTCTGCTTCACACATGACTGCAGAGAGTCTTGTGATCTTCTCTGGACAACTATTAATAACACCTCATCCATGTGATCTGATGGATTCATTTCGATTATTTTTTTTCCCCCCCCAAAAGGAAATTTTGAAAACAAAAAAAACAAAACAAAAACCCAACAGCTTGTGAGTGTCTATATATCTGGTGGTGCAACCCCATCAGAATACGTTTTTGTCATCAGGTCAGCAGGAGTCACCCGAAAGCCGAAGGTCGATTAACTGTCACTGGCAGACATTTTTTTAAAGGATTTAGGTTTTTCTCAGATCCTTCCTCGGAAGTATTTGGCCAGCAGTAGGGCTGCAAGCATTGAGTATTTTGGTATTCGGATATCCTACTGAGAAAAGTCGACTGAATAATGAAGTATTCGAATAAAATAATTTTGATCACTTTTTTTTTTTTTTTTGCCCGGTTAAAGAACAATTCTGAATACTGATGAGAAAATAACTGATATTACTTCATAATGAAGGTCCGATTAGTTTTAATTTTTTTACGTTATCAAGGGCTTTTATTGAAATACAAGCTGTGAATAGCAGCAAACTCCTTCCTTCTCTAGAAAGGGTTGAGTACGGGACAAAGTGACGTCAGAACCAAATTCGTCACATTCATTGCTTAAACAGCAGATTTGAGAAAGCTTGGTTTGCTAACTATTGATCAGTAGGAACTATAACTGTGTCAGGCAAGTTACCAAAAGTGCCGAATCATTTTTGCCTCTGAAGCTGTCTTAAGAAAAGTCCTCCGACAGGTCTTTGCCAACCTACAGGTATATCAGGCACTCGCTTAGTGGCCAGCTGCTAGCCATTAGCTGGTAACAGGCAGCATTTTATACGATGACAGTGTAAATTAAATCCTTAATTTGCGATTGATGGATGACGACGTGTGTCAACTAGAGACTGAATCCGAGTCAAGTCAGCTGCCGCGCGCTACCCGGAATAACTTCAAAATAAAAGGCACTGGTGTCTATGTGTTACCTGCTAAGGTTTGATTTTGAAGTTGGCCTTCTCACCGTGTTATCATCATGCAGAGCATGAACAATTGCTGCGGCTGGCTTGACTGTCTTCCCGACCATGCACACCAAATAAAATTAACCAGTACCCGAGGCAGGAAAAAAAATTCTCACGCATTTTTTAAATCAAAATACTCAAATTACTCGAAGACTCGTTTCACCCCTAGCGTGCCCTTTTTTTGAAGGTTGTAAGTGCTAGATACTCTTTCTGTACCCTACAGTTTGACTTTTGTGTTTTGGTTCACAGGTGAGGCATTTACCGATTTTAAGTCTGTCCAAACTGACGACGGCTTCACTGACTTTAAAACCGCAGACAGCGTCTCTCCACTAGAGCCATCGGAACAGGCCAAGATCTTCCAGCCCCCCTTCCCTTCCGCTTTCCCCAACTCTCAGCCTCTCCAACAACAGCAGCAGCCGCCAGCCGCTTCTCTTTCTCAAGCCAAAAACCCTCTCAACATGGCAGACCTGGATCTTTTCTCCTCTACCCCTCCCTCCGCTCTGCCTGCCACCGACGCACAAGCTGGCTCATCACCTCCTTTTCTCGCGGTCCCACCAGGCGACCCCAAGTCTGACGGCTTTGGGGACTTCGCACTATTTGGCTCTTCGTCCTCAGATGCCGCTCGAGCGCCGGGCGTGGCGGCAGCGGCGCCGCCGCAGGATGACTTTGCTGACTTCATGGCGTTCGGGAGTTCCGGCGGGGAGCCCAAAAGCGAAAGCAGCGCAGCGGTCCACAGCGAGACCTCCATTCAGCAGAACTCGGACAAGTATGACGTGTTCAAGCAGTTATCCTTCGAAGGCGGTGGCCTGGCCTACGATGACGCCAAGGACACCGGCGACGACTTTGCCGACTTCCAGTCGTCCAAATTCTGCACGGCGCTCGGCGCCTCCGAAAAGACCCTGGTGGACAAGGTGGCCGCCTTCAAGCAAGGCAAGGAGGATTGCGCCTCGGTCAAGTCCCTGGACCTCCCGTCCATCGGGGGCAGCAGCGCCGGGAAAGACGACTCAGAGGACGCGCTGTCGGTGCAGCTGGACATGAAGCTCACCGATACGGGCGGGGACTTGAAGCACGTGATGTCGGACAGCTCGCTGGATCTGACGGGGCTTTCGTCCCACCAGCCACCCGCTACAGGTGAGGAACTAGTGCGCTTGCTCTGGTGAGGGGCCCTCCCACTCATATACAAACACACTTACACACACACAGCCAGCCAGACAGACACACACACACAATGTTCAAACACTCACTATATAGTAACATATCAAATAGGATGTTAAGCATCATCCTCCATTCCAACTTTTAGCATTCATTTCGTCTCATTTATTTATTTATGTATTTATTGATTTGTTAATTTGTTTGTTTATTCTAATCCTCATATTCATGGGAGTTGTTGCTCTATTGCTGCCCACGTTACCCTCCCTCCCTTGTTGTGATAATTTAAGATGTCCACTTGAAGGGGGAATTTGCTGTTTTAAAACCACAAGCGAGATGTGAACGTAGTCTCACTTCGCGAATCTCAGTCTCATGCCTTCTGTCTTCTGGTAGGTTGTTCTTCCTCGAGCGCAGTCTTTTAAAAAAAAAAAACAAACAAAAAAAAAAACTGCAAAGGCCCCCTTTAAGTGTTACTGAGGTGATTTATTGTTTACATTTGCAATACTGTACAGTGTTTAGGGTCTAGGCTCTGCTGTGAAGAGCAAAAATCGCAGTACAATTTGATGCCCACCCAAAAACGTTTGTAATTTTCTATAGATCCCACAAGATGGTAGCAAGGCACTTTTTTCCCCCATTAGACAAGGCTGATATGGCCTGACAAAGTCAAGCTTCCCCCTTTCACTTCACCATCCTGGCCCACCAGTATGCCACGGAACGGTGCCAAAGTAAGATTTTGGCCTGAGCACAAAATGAGTGAATAGGAGTTTTTCAACAAGTAACAGAGAATAGGTTCCCCTAAAATTCTCAACAAATATGCAGACTCACCAATGCCAAAATTTAATTATAAAGTCATTATTTGGCCTTGTTGGTCTGGTCTCTTTTGGTAAAATAAATCAAGATGTATAAAATAGAATTTAATTACTCGGCTTGATTGACACAGGACTTGATTTAAAACAGTAGCAATGAGAAAGTGGTGGGGGGTGGGAGGGGTAACAGATTCCAAATACAGTAGCGGTTGCTAAATTACGTTGTTCACACTAACACATTGCGCCCGCCGTTGAGGTTTGTGCTTGTTTTTACATCTGTGTTGCATCTTCTTAACAGAACCCATTCACTCATTGATTCAGCCATTCATTAAGGACATTCGGGATTTTTTTTTTTTCCATACGTGACATGATTTAATCTAGTTGTGCATCTTCATTGCCTTATACAGTAAATGAAGACATGTAGGACAGAAAGAAGTAGTAACACAACGTGGATGCATTCCACCGAAGCTCTGATCCTTCTGTAAATGCTCCTTTCAAGTCTATTTTTGATCTACGACTGCGCCACAGAGCATCTTGTGTTGTTCAGTCCAGTTTGACGCGCCGGCTGTTTCTGAACATGCACATACTCCACGTACTCTTAAAGAGACAGTATTCCTTTTGTCAAGTGGCTTTCCAGTTGGGTGCACAGAAGGAAACTGTTATCGTTGAGTTTTTTTTGGGGGGGGGGGTGAATTGTCACGTCCACTTCGACGGGTTGCTCTTACCCATCATTCTCTGCTTCCTGCTGCCTTTTTCAATTTGTGAAATTGACAAGTACACAGAACATCCCAGATGCCATTTTAGATGTTAGGGAGAAAAATGTACCGGATTTTAGAAGTTTATTTTCATGACAGAAATGGACTCTGTTTACTGTGACATTTAAGACACAAGTGTGTGTGATACCCGGTAGAGTAGAAATTTCAGTTGCTCGTACTGGAGTACCTGTCCTACTAAGGCTACTCTTTCAAACAGTCACTAAGGCAAGAAGTAAAAGGATACTGTCTCTTTAAATATTCCTCTTGGATGTACAGTAATTTAAGTCCTTTTTTGCGGGATGCCAGGGATGTTTGTCTGCTTTCCAACCCTTTGGGTGCTTGATAACTTGACATCATTGTTTAAAAGCATAGAACATAACCAATTTATAGCCTCTGCATTGCATTTTTTGTTTGTCTATTGAGTCCTCAAAGGGTTTATGTAGTATTTCCTCCCTTTGTTTCCCCCCCCAAAACCAAGAAAAAAAAAAAGAGTTGCTTTCCTACCTGGTAGCTGAATGGATTTTGTCACCTCCTCTTCCGATTGACTTATTGGAGTCTGTGAATGTGCCTTCTCACTCTGCTTTTTGTGCTTTTCTTTCTCTTGCGTTTCAGTTTGTTCATTTCTCCCCTTTTGCTCCTGACTCTGCATGTCTTTGTTTAACGCGCACCAAATCTGAAGTCTAGTTTTACACTGTTAGCTTGCCGAAAGCTCTTCTTGTAACGATAGACCTCTATTATTCTACTTTGTGAAACTTTTCTGGCTCTCTTCTCTCATGTTGTGGTAATAAATATTCCTCTTGGTATGGCTCAAAAATGGGTGCCGTCTTATTTTTCTTC